TTCCAATTTTTCTAGCCAGTCGGTCTAGCTATGCCTGAGAGTTCCTAGCCCCCAAAATAATTCACAAGCCCGAAACTTGAATGTAGACACGGGTTTCCTCATTGAACTGCCAGTATGATGAACACTTTTATCAGGCCATAATCTTGCATGATTTAAAAGTGTATTATAACTTAACAAGTCGGAAAGAGTGATGTATTTACAAAATGACCCCGTGAAAATTCACTAGCCAGTCGGACCAGTGACTGTGGAGATTGACTGGCCCGACTGGATTTATACAAGCCACGGGCTAGCGGGCCAGTGTCTATTTCGCTAACTGACACTACATAAAAAAATCGACAATAAGCTCATCCGTCTTAATTACAGTAAAAAGTCCCATAGTAAATACTAAAAAAACATATAAAGATACACGTACAAATATAAACATATTTTGCTAAATTTAGCAAGTCACGTTTGAACGGACCGGCTTCTATCTCGGTATTAGGCTCACAAAGCATTTGAGTATTAAATACGTGTATTAGATTCATTTTGCCAAGGGCATTTTTTAAGCATTCCTGTTAATATTCTTGACATTTCAAATTTGTCCATGTAATCCTATGACCCAGCTACTGATCTGTATTTGAGTCGCCCCGGAAGCGATACTATCGGAATGAGTAGTCTGTTTGTTTTTAATACGCATGTCAATCAAATTTCGTTTCCGCACCCATTTCGAATTTATAATACTCTCAACATTTAACGTTATCTTCTCAGTTCCCGTTCTCGTATGAATATCGATTCCAACTTTTTATCTAATTTGACAAAGCGCAAACACGCCATGATGCTATCAGGAGAGGTGTTTAAAGAAACGTTTATATTCTACAGCTGGGGCCAATAACATCGCAAGGAACTGCAAATTCTTTGGAATTTAATGTTTATATCGCAAGAATAGTCGTCAACCATTTTTGGTCTCCTGAAACGAAAATAGATCGGAAAACATTTTACCAGATTCTTTTAGACATCCATGGGCGTTAATTTTTGTACGAAAACAGGTTAATCGTTTTCTTTTTGTTAATATGACTTCCAACTTTAACATGTGATGTTTCGAGCATGTTGATGTCTCGAACCAACCTTTCTCTTTATCTAATCCTACAAGTTTCCGTTTTGTACCACTTTCAGTCATTCGTGTTTATTACTTAAGGCAGCTTGATGTATTGAACGTATCGAATATTCTATATAGCGGACCCAATTATTGTCCACAGGAGATGGTGTACATGTTTATGTGGACACAGGACTTCGACTATACGGAACTTACAGTTCGTGATATCCGGTGTTGTTTGTAATGGCTCTCGTGGACAAAGCTGATCGCTTCAATGGGTCGTCGTTTGTTCAGTGGGTGGGCGAATGGGACTAGTTGGTATCATATGCGGTATAAGGCTTTAGCATTTGTTTCAGTTACAAGTTTAATCTTCTAACTTTGGACTCGTAACAGAAAACAAACATATATTAAAACTTAAGAATAGATCACAACAAACTTACATCTTTCTTGAATCTCAGGCAGTTTCAAGTTTTAAGCAGGAAATCCTATATCAAGACCATTATACAAATAGCTTCTTGTGTCCCCACATAGTCTGTCTCACAGTCTCTTAACCACATTATTTTCCCTAATGCCTAGCCCTCCCTACAATGCTAAAGCCCTAAATGAAGCAAGTCTAGATTTGCCTTGAATCTCCTAACTCACGAGGTCTCCTTTTTAATATAAATTGGTTTATTTGTTACTATCAAAATTATATATATTCAGGGACTAAGCGTTAGTCTAGACTCCACACACAGGCCTGGGAACACTTGGTTTTGGAACTTTCTCATGGACATGCAACGACTCCATACCGCTCATCGTGGATACATTTAACAGGAACTGGTCGCGATATGCCCCGTTGTTGTGACAATTGGTAGGCGATGTGCCATGGTTATACAGCTATACTGACTGACTGAGTTTAGTTTTACGCCGCTTTTAGCAATATTCCAGCAATATCACGGCGGGGGACACCAGAAATGGGCTTAACACATTGTGCCCATGTGGGGAATCGAACCCGAGTCTTCGGCGTGACGAGCCAACGCTTTAACCACTAGGCTACCCCACCGCCCCTATACAGCTATAGCTCACCTGGCCACGTGGAAATTAAAAGTTGCAACACACGTGAAACGTAGCATTTGTTTCAATAAGATATCTAGCTTATGATAACAACTCGTCTGATGTGTGTTTGGACACGGGTAAACTAATTCTTGAATACCTATGATTTAGATTGACTGTAATGGGTAAATAATGCCGAGACCTCAAAAACATATATTCTTTTTTTATGGTGCAGCTTTAATGTCAAACACATGTATATGCCATAGTGCGCCAAAATTGTTTATTTGAGAGATTCGGAAATAATTTATCATTTTTAAAATTTCTTTCATAACTTACCAAGATATATTGGAATACTTTACGACAGTTATATAAAGCAATCGATTTTAAATGCTCGGGAACTAAAGGCAGTTATTGTGGGGCACTGTCCAGTATAGCGAGGTTACTATGGACATACCTTCACTTATTGTACCTGAACTACGACATCAGAACGAAACCTTTTTATACCATAAATATTTGAAATATTCATATTTTAAAAATAAGATTATACTCCAAATCTTTCTGTTTTTCGAGCACAATACCAAAGTGCACATCAATAAATATCTCACGTTTTGATCTTTCATGCATGATTCATTCAACATTTCACGTGAAACGTGACTAAATGGAAGTAATGAATGCGTTAATTCTACGATTAACCCTCCATACACCGTAGCCGTTGATTATCCGATGATTACTAATCACAACTGATCCTAATTAATTGCTTTAACCTGTTTTATCATACCAGTAATTATTGGATTATCGAGGCATGAAGCGAGCAGCAGCAAGGGCAAAAGAACGCCTGTCAAGTTCATTGTCAGTTGGTTGTTAATTAATTTGGGCTAACAGCGTTAGGAAGATTAATTGAGGATTTATGTGGAAAATCTGTTCTCGAATTGTGAAGCTGTTTGCTTCGGAAACAATAAACGTAGTCATATTTGTACTTGTATTTTTCCTAGATGGATTACAGAGATGATATTTTCGGAGAGACAGAATAACTTATTTGAAAAAAAATACATGTTTGTATGTCTGGAAATTTAAAGTCAGATTTACTGCATCTAAAATCAGAGCATTATGAGGTGTTTCATAAGTAGCATATCGTCATGTTACTGATTCTTTTGTGTGTGAAATATTGAAAAATATTACGTAATGAGGTACGGATAAACTGTAGTCGACAAATAACTCAATCTTTGAATCTCTGAATCTTGGGAGTTCCCGTAGGAGGGCTACGTTGATAATACTCTTAACGTCTCATTAATACCCGTGTTTAAGTGAGCTTTGGTTCCAGTTTACGTAACAACACACACGATATTCACCGTACTACTTCAGAAGTCTGACAAATAATCTTAAGATTTAAACCAAGCGTGAAAGATAAACTTGACAGGTCGAACAGTGAGCACTAATCTTGTCAAACGAGCACAACCCATATCAGAGGCATGGAGGCTTGGTCGCTTCACCGCTGGACAATTGCGGTATCCTGCCGCGCAAGAAATGAGCCCCGATTATTCACCTTTGGGAACCCGCTCCTGAAGTAGTGTTTACGATGAGAGGTAAGAAGACTCTTTAAGGATGGACAAAAGATTCTGATGTTGATCGGACACGGTTATTTGTGGCCAATGGCTTGAAATAGTTCACCCATTGCTACACTGCTAATAGACCTTTAAAGACGCCTGACGACTCCATTGCGCATTGTCTGCCTTTCAGCACTTCTCGATGGCAAAGTTTGATAAAAGCTTTCCTCGGATAGGATTAAAACTTCAAAGCCGAGCTTGTGTTGGTATTTGGACAACCTGTTTTGGCGAAACTAGCATCAATGGTATGGCTTTTAGGTTGTGACATCTGCGGCGAAGTAATTGAGTCGAAGAGTGGAGAACTGTTGAGGTCATTTATGAAACATTTTGTCATCGATTTCCACAGCGCAGGTGGCCTTTGACTTCAGCGTTGAAGTGTGAGAAAAACCAAACCACTTGGCATTTGAGGACACCATTGGAATGCATGAAAAATTGGAGCCCAGATTATATATACTGTAACTACACGCGTTTGATGACGTGTTTGTACAGCCTATTCAAATACTATCAACTGTGCGTTTGTATTAGTATTTAATCAATTTGCAATCTCCAATCATTTCATTATTTATTATCATGAAGTATAGATCAGTCTACCTATACACACTATAAACGATATAATTATAATAGTTTTGTAGTAACGATGAATAAGCTAAAGCAGGTTAGCCTGTAAGTATTGAAGCTTGAAAAACGTGATTGTAAGCATGGTGAATTATCCATAGACTAAAGTATAAGATATTCTTACCAAGAAGGTCCTCATCCAGACCAAGAAGGTCCACATTCTAACCAACAGGATCCACATTCTAACCAACAAGGTCCTCATCCAGACCAAGAAGGTCCACATTCTAACCAACAGGATCCACATTCTAACCACACTATCCTCATTATAATCGGCCATTACGTCAAATAACGGAAAACTTGGGACGTTCTTGACCCGAAATCCGCTAGTATGTCTTACAGTCCCTGAACCGTATTATTTCCACTTCTGTCCAGCCCTTTCTGCAATGCTAAAGTCCTAAATGAAGCAAGTCTAGATTTGCTCAGTTTCTGAATCTCGTACCTCACTGGGTCTCCTTTTCAATTTAAAATGAATTATTTGAATCTATCATAATCCTATTTATTCAGAGACTAAGCGTTTGTCTAGAAGTCAAGAAACTGTATTTATATCAACATTCATCCAGTAAGTGTGAAACCTCACGGAGAGGGGTTTCATTGAAACGCCTTTAAGATGTCTATGAAATTGACCTGAAATAAACATACAATGACAAGTATGGATGTTTATAGGCAATGTGTCTTACCCATTGATGGACATCCCTCAAGCTCTGGACATGGACTCTTCCGTTTGCGTGGCCTTCCTTTCTGGACCGCGCCCACTCCGTTATAATAGGGAATATTTGGTCCACCGAGTTCCGGTGACAGACTTTGCAAATACTCTCCTTGAAATATGATTTCATAGTCTGTTCTACAGTAAACAAGGTGATCTTTCATTCCGAATTGTTCGCCTGGTGTCAAAGCTCGGTTGCACGAACTACACGTGAAACACGAGAGGTGATACACTAGGTCACGTGCTCTCATAACAAGTTCGTTGGCGGCAATTCCAAGATGACAGCGCGAGCATCGCTTTATTCCGAATCTCCTGAAACAGAAACGAAAGCTTAAGGTTCTGCAAAATAATGTTCGCGGTGGGAGTTATTCTGGGTTCTAATTAGACTCATCTTGAACCCGTTCTTGAAATGTAGGTGAATGTTCGTGCTCTTGAATAAACATTTGACATAAAATCGATAAACTTCTTCGGTATGTGCCACAATGAAATCAATAACTGATGAATATCAAGCATAACCTCAAATACAAATCAAATAAATACCAGTCGGTATTACATTAAAAGGCACGTCGTTTATTTGATTTCATGTCAACTGACCTGACATATTCATATTTTCGAAAAAGTAGTTCCAGCTTAATATTTCTTACCTGAAACACCAACAGCGAACCAATTTTTTGTCATGTTTTTTTATGTTCCTTGCCTAAACGTCCTCAAATACTCCACAAATATTCTCGGTGCTGGGACAGACTGTTAATCAATAACACTTTTCACATGTCGGTATCAAACATGATGATAAACATACTCACATTATCACAACCATGATAGTCTTAAATACTGAAAACATTATATGGAAAGACGGCTATCATAGGCGATCTTTAAACGCCAGTAAAGTCAATATTGAATACGACGACAAATTAAACACAGCCTTTTCTTTCATTGACAAATATTGGGGAATTGCGTGCTCTTTTCGAGAGGCAAATGAGTAGTTGTGTGTGAACTGCCGGCGAAATGGACACGGTAATAACCGGGGAGATTGTGGCTGCCGTCAGATGACCGTTACGTATGTCAAGTCATATGTCGATTTCTCAGGGAAACGGTTTGTCGATGTGGCCCGATGACGTTGTCAGGCTGGCTGTCAAGCATGTATATCATGGCAATGATGATGATGATGATGATGATGATGATGATGAGTTAATATGGTTTAACGCCGGTTTTGGTAATATTCCAGCAATATCATTTCGGGGAAAAAACAGAAATCGGCTTCACACATTTAACCCATGTGAGGAATCGAACCCGGCTGTTCCGCGTGACGAGCGAACGCTTTAACCACCAGACTACCTAATCGCCCCTGATGATGATATATCGTTGATAGCAATGGATTACTATTATACCACCACCACCACTACTACTACTACTACTACTACTACTACTACTACTGCTACTGCTACTACTACTACTACTACTACTACTACTGCTGCTGCTACTACTACTACTACTACTACTGCTGCTGCTACTACCACTGCTGGTGCTACTACTACTACTGCTGCTGCTACTACTACTGCTGCTGCTACTACTACTACTGCTACTACTTCTACTACTACTTCCCCGATATTTGTGGCCCGACTGTAGTCGCCGCTGCTGATTGGGATCATTGGGAGTTTTGTTAAATGTTTATTCATGTCTGATGTATGTAGATCGAACCTTGAATATCACACGAAGCTTCAACACACGCCGTTGGTTGGCATTACAATATCTTAGAACAACATCATGACAAAGTGAACGCAGCTGTTGTTTCAAGTGATTAATATTTCATGAAATTATAATGTTTATTCTAGTGACGTGACATAAACTGATTACTATCTTGATGTCTGTCCAGAATAATGATAATAATTCAAAGCACATATCTTCATGAAATTTGACAAAGATTCACACTGTACAAGTCGTGACAGTTAATAATACAGACATGATGAGGATTGCATCGATTGTCAGATACAGGAATCAGTGCAACTTTACGAAACTTACATGGCGAAAGTGACATTAATTTGAAATCTACATGCAATCGATCACTTTATGGGAAATACGGACCTGGAGATACCAGCCGCGTCCGGTGAAATTGACACATTTCACAGCAGCGTGTATCGGAAAACACAGCACCATCGTCATGAATGAAATTGACCAAGCCCGTATGATTAAACAACGCGATCGAGTTGACAAACAGACAAACATAGTCTTTTATTACACGTGATTGACGAGTGGCGAACCTGACCAAGGGTTGCGATCTATGAACTCATTCTGGTGCAGAACAGCGTACGAAAAATCGTTTGGTTTAAAAAACCTTCAGATACATTCATGTGTACTTGTTGCGCATACACTGAACACTCATTATACCGGACGATAACAGTTTCCGGGGGATTACTGTTACAATTACTCATGGGGAAACTTATATACAGGTTCTGTGTCACAGATGATTTATTAAGATGAAGGGCATAATTACCATAATTATTCGAATACTCCATTGTCATTATGATCAAAATGGAATGTGTCTCATTTTCGTTCCTCCAACGAAATACCGGGGAGAACATGACGAGTGCTTGTCTTAGAATCATTTAAATACCACTGTAACCATCGGTTCGAACCAATTGCGCAGATACGCATGCTGTTGATCACTGGATTGACTCGTCGAGACTCGATTATTCACAGACCGCCGCCATACAGCTGGAATATTGCTGAGAAGGCTACTGGGTATAACTAAACTCTCTCTCTCTCTCTCTCTCTCTCTCTCTCTCTCTCTCTCTCTCTCTCTCTCTCTCTCTCTCTCTCTCTCTCTCTCTCTCTCTCTCTCTCTCTCTCTCTCTCTTACGTTTGCATCATTGTCGTCACAAAATAATTTAATTTATTATTACATAATACATCTATGCACTGTATGATAAAGAATACACCTACATTAAAATCAATTTCAAATCGTAACTACCACCAAACTGTTTCACTAAACTTTATGTTGAGTCAAGAATAGAGCGCTAATCACTCATGATTCCAACGCACTGTCAAGTGAGAATGATATATTGATCTAACCTATACGTTGTTACTGATATACTCAAAAATATACTTGATAGCACATCTTATGAGAATTTTAGGCCATTATGGCTTGTATTTCTGTGGAAAGGAAATCCACTGGCAATGGAGGCGACAATGAAATATGTCTTGCAGGTGGGTTTCTGACAGAGGTTGTGTATTTCAGAACACATATTGTCCCACAAACTCCCGAGACACATATTGGGGGACATATTTCTCGCATATGTTCCTCCACCCACCGCATCTGCCTTCGACAGGAGAATAATCCAACATGGCGGAAGTTGACGTCTGCTGTTGGGTAAAATGGAGAAAGAAGCAGACGCGTGGAAAAGCCTATCTGGACTGGTAGAACTTGACGGATGATAATGCGTACAAACTCTCTTCCAGAGTGCATAACATTCTTGTAGATATTTTTAAATGCAAACGTATTTATACACGGAATTCGATCCAAATATATGCTGGCGAAATGTTAAAGCATAAGCATTATGCCAGGTGTTCAGCTACTAAAGTTCTACTTGATGTGTACAAAGAGGCACAAAACGGAGTCAAACTCATCTATCTATCTATCTATCTATCTATCTATCTATCTATCTATCTATCGCACATATACGCTCAGATGATGATGATGATAATGATGATGAAGATGATGAGTCGGTGTTAATTCGATTCTCATTTTCAGTTCCTTGGGGTACTGTACACAACGCAGTCTGTGTGTTAGCAGTCACATTAGTATATCATTCTAACGGGTACCCATGTACAGCTTGGTAAAGTGAGGCATATTTCGAACAGATTTCACTTGTCTACGGAGAAGGCAGATACAACATACACTCAGGTGTTGGACAGGACCAAAGACTAATAAACTCTCCGGATTCCCCCTGACGAACTCCTTCACCCATGCACCTACTCTCATCCAACATTCTGGCTCGTCTTTGCCTGATCCGTGATCTGTGCGCAGCACACCATAAACTCACGCACCACCATACACTGACATTTCGACTTGCACAAGTCTCTAAGGTATTGTTATTAATAGTTTAAAGGATAATTTCTAAAAAATATAAATATCCCTCTAACAAACTGGCGTCCTTATGTACTGCCCGCTTATCGAGAGGGTAGAATCACTATACACCCATGGCTTAGCCTTCAGTTCCGCCTTAGAGCAAGGCTAACTGACATCGTGCACGTGGGTGTCGAACTAAGAGAATACGCTGCAGTTAGTGAGTGAGTGAGTTTGTTTTATCCTGAACGATATCCCAGTCATATCATATGCCTATGATGTAAATGATCAAGTGACAAAGGCCATGGACATTTACCGCTTCTGTGACATCCACAAGTACGAGAATGGTGATGTAGACTAGGTACTATAATCGGGTAGCATCTGGGATTCGAACCTATGGTACTTGACCGTCGGTTTACATGCATAGAGCGCTTTGTTACTGTTACGAAATACGAATTTGTTATTAAGTGAAAACACCCTCCTCCCGATATAAATTCTCATTGATCTTTTTTATGTCGGCTTGTATTCTAATCATCGACCTCTGTAAATACCAAAAGTCGATGGATAAGTTCGGATGTATCAAATTCGACTCTCATCTTCTTCTGTAAATAACGTCATTGTCAATGTCAATATCGACGTTCTGATGTAACAACCTAGCAGTAAGGGATTCGAAATATCAGCTTTGGAAATAAATGAAATTTTAATCTTCAATATGTTATACATTTTTACATATAAGTATATTTTATGACAGCTGTTTATCCATACAACTTGTCTCATCACTATATGGCTCAAGTAATGGCGACCTGACGCCATATTGTAACACACTCGCTGGTCTTTCTCATTTAGGTAATAATTGCTTAAACGTACTATTCTGTTGACGAACTTCGACATTACCATTAGGTTATTCTATCTTATCTTTAAACTATCTACCTCGATTGATAAAAATAAAGTTTCCCACGCGAAAGGACATCCAAACACCGAAAGCAGAAAAGTTTGAGAAAATTCAAAACTGTTTACAATTCAAAATTCGGATTAAATATTACTCCCAATTTCATTTCCTTTGAGAATTCAGGGCCAATTTGACAAATTTGTTTAAGTTTGAGCATTTTATTACTAAGAATGCAACAAAAACTGTTGGCACTGTAGAATCTAATAGAAACCGGTTGGTTTTCTCTGCATGGGGCACGCGTTAGGGGAACTTAGGAGGACCCGCTCTTTGAGGAGGGAGGGGGAGAAATCCGAACGCTGCACGTGCAATGGGGCCCACGTGGGATGGCTTTGCTTGCCAAAATGTTTGCCAAAGTCTTGAGAGTTTGGGAGAAAGTACTTGAAATCTTCAAGGGGTCTTGTCGTCATTTCTATCTTGAAAGCTCGCGAATTTTCGTGAAAAAGATTTTCAAGCATTCTTCTTTGAGTTTCTTTTGTAACTGGAGTTAGGCTTAGGTTTCGCCAGAATGGTTTTGTCTGGTATTTTCGTAATTATTATTTGTCCCGTTATGAAATCAGTTTTGCACCAGAACACGTGTTCAAAATGTGAACGTTGGCTAGAAGCGGAGACGTGAAAGAGAGAAGTTTGAATAATATTTCACTCTAACGGTGAGTCGACAACATTATGTGTAATTCAAGCGCATAAACACCGAGGTTCTACAGCTGTTTATCATGGCCTTTGTTAGATTCTAGCATGTAGAAAGCACTCAAATAAAATGAAGCTAACCTAACAGTAAAATTCAACGATGCCTTAAGATATTGAAATACTAAATATTTCAACTGACTACCTTGGCTTCATTCCTATCTCGTTACACCGATATAAAATTCTCTTTTTATGTTTTAATTATTCACACGCGTACTGTTAAACAGAGTTAGGGTTTCATGTAAAATACATCAAAACCGCTAAATGTATTGTCTACGAACCCCTATGAAGAAATCACGGATGATAGAGAGGACATTTTGGGTCAATACCCGTATGCAGTGGAACAATGATCGTCTAGTTAAACACGCGGAGTTAACCCGTTTTTAACAATACCAAAATAGCTATATCGATAGAATGATTAATAAAAGCTACAGCTTCGCGTCGGTTCTGGCACAATAGCATCCGATTTGCCCCGCATTGTCTATTAATTATTTAAGTAGATTCAATCGGAATCTTTGATATCAAAGCACGCCTTGTGTTTTCTGAACGACAGCGGATACTTGGGTAAGGTTATAAGAGATACGTTTGATGTAATTACTGATGAAATCCATGAATAAACAAAGTTTCTTCTTTGCTGATGATACGGGATTATTCGATAAAATTCAAGCCGTGGCACAGTCTATTCAACCATATCATAAATAATTCTGGCTGTTCATGCATTGTATAAACACCGCTATACTATCTGGTCTAAGAGAAGAGACGGCAAATACGACACGCCGAAAATCGACTCGTGGTTTTCCTACGCGGGCTTTTCTCAACCGTAAAGCGGTTCGATTGTCGTAATCGATCGTGTCGGATCGATCGGGTGATCAAACAGGCGGATGGAGCTAAACTACTTGAGATATTGGGACTTCAGGCGAGGGTTTGCAACACAAGTGATACAGAGTCCTCATGGCGTCTTTGATGCCGACAGTGAGTGAGTTTGAGGAGCCATATTCCGGAACGATGTCGTGATGTCGGATATATGTGTACCTATGTTGGACAATTATCCGGCAATGCTGAATACACGTGGCGTCATCTGTCGAAATCTTACACATGCTTTAGAACACCTTTAAAAATAATGGGAAAATATTAATGATGACAATCATTACGAGCAATAAATTATACATATCACTTACAAGTCAATATTATACTTTGAAACTTTATTTTGACAAAAATCAATAATATCTTACAATATTGAACTTTTATTCCTTGTAGATTAAGTAAAAATATAACGTGCCATTTAGGGTAATGCAATGTGATAACGTATTTAGCATATGTGTGTAACGACAAATCACAAAACACATGTCTGGCACACCAACTTAAGATTCCCTGCAATTATCCATTGTTAAATGGGTTCACCATGGCAACCGATCTATAAGATTTTTATTGGAAAATTAGACCATCCTCTCATGCACAATCAAGCCATGGAGCACATATGGTTTCGATCAGCTGGGCTATCTCTCATCACTGTACGTAAGCAGTTTTCAGGCAAACAGTATTCTACAAAACCGTTCCTCGCAAGCAGAGAGGAAAGATGGTAAACCGTTTAGTGTCAGCAAAATCTTGAATTCGAATTAAAATGCACGTGGTCGCTGCCGGGTTTAGACAGTGAAAGAAAAGACCGAAAAATGTAGAAAGATATTTTCATCATTTGAGGGGAATGGAAACAAAAACTGTATTTACTTTTTCCGTGAGTTTGGGTGATGGGTGGACCTCTTGCGTCCGTAAACATGGCGGCCAGTCGAGAAATGTGAAAATATCAGTTGAGAAATTACTCGGTGAAAGAATTCTGGAATGATGACTGACAGAGGGAAAAGCTTTCTTGAACTGTCAAAATAAACGTAAAATAAGCTAAGAGGACATATGATAATTGCAATGACCGAATGATGGTGTACTTTTGTGGCATTTTGTTTGAAAAAAACTCGATACGGAAGTCAACATGTTTGTTTGATATTGAGAAGAAATGTGTTGAGAAAATATTCCAGAATATCAGCAGATCTAGTGAGATCTTCGTTGAGCTCGGTGTTTCACCCGCTGTAAAAAGTCAAAACAACCAAAAACATTCTTTACTTGCAAATAATTAAAGATATGTTTCAAGAGTTTGTAGAAAATCCATCTTAGTGCTGTCAGCCAAACTATACAAATGTTTGTAGAATAGCAAGAGAAGTACATAAACATGCCTACAACATGCATGTTGAGTCGCCAGCGCTCATAATTTAAAACACTATAACTGAAGTATTGTATTGTCGATTACACATCCGTAATATACTTGAGAAGTGTATTGTCAATAATCACACTTATAGAACATTTAATGGGCCACTGGTCCGAATCAACGAAACAAAACATTTGTCCAGTAAGGGAGTTCATGAAATGACAAGGTTCGCTGTGATAAAGTTTCCATTCTCGGTGTAAACAGGATGACGGGTCAACATATACCTTAGTTGGTTTCATTGTTAACACTAAGACACAAGATTAAAACTCTTGTTAAAACATGACTTTAACCTGCCTTTATCCAAACAAGATATGTCATCAACACACATTTAAAGACAACGACACAAATGTTTAAAATCACATCAGAAATCACCTGGAATATTTAACTATTCATGAGGTGAACATAACAGTTTTTTTGTCCATTTTAGTGCAACCCCACCTTGGGCCCTTATGATCAGATCTATCACAGAATTGCCGAACTCAATCAGTGCCGACCTGAGATGAAACCTTATCCACTGTCCCAAACCTTGGGTTTGTTGAGAAAGCAAATTTTACACATTCACCCAAAGCTCCGCACTGGACCTGAACGTATAGACTACAAAATGCCTATAAATCATTACAAATCTCTCCGGTATTAAATTGTCCGCTTTAACCGTACCCCTCTCTATTACAGCCTTTCGTCAGCGGTAAAAATCAACTTCTAGTTACAAAAGGATTATCCAACGCTATGATTTGTTTTGTAGTTTCTTCCCAAGCAAGCGGGTCTTCATCCCCATTGCGATCTCGTGTGAAAACTCAGTGCAGTGTCGTGTGACGGTGTCGTTCAAGCCTCGCGAGCGTTACATGCAATTATGAAACCATTAACGCGCAACCGGAAAATTAATTTGTTTTGATTGGCAGATTACAACGCAAGGTTATTGTTAAGCTCTTTACAACGCCTTATGATGCGCCTAGAAAAGCAAGCTTCGGTGTCAGATGAATCCAATATCATCACCACAAGCGGATAGGAGAGTTAGAGAATATTACCAACACGGTGTGGAGTTTGTCGATTGTAATTCCGCAGTAGGGAAGGTTTAAAATAATCACGTAGGGATTCCATGTATCATTACTTGTCCATTGATGTATTATCTGATTATTACAGCAGGACTTTATTTGAAACGTCAACAAAAAATGACAACAAATACTGCTGTTAAAGAGATCTGAATATTTAAGAAGCTGGTACCGGTCTTTTGGGCTCAGTTATAACTTGATTTTGATAAATTACAATAATTGTTTATTACAGAAGGAACAGGCGTAATTGGACCTCTTTATTACGGACACCCAGTATTCCGAACGTTAGCTTGGTTCAGCGTATATCCACAGATTCATTTGTCAACATTGTCAAGATTTCGTTCTGTGAGAGTTACTTTTGATAACAAATTATTGGCTCCTGAATTATCTTTTAAAACAAATATGAGATACATGACAGAGTGGTACCGAATTGCCACCTGCTAAAGTGGTAAATAAAATGCCCTTGAGAAGTTAATCGCTTGTTGTGTGTATAGGATACACTTGACTATGTTTGGTTTGCTCTATTCTCTGTGGAGTGATACACAATAAGCAGAGGGAAAGAGCAAGTATTCTCTAAGAGAACGACTTAACGAACGTATATTCCCCTTTCGTTTATTCATAAATCATTCAGTTCAATTACAACTTGTGAGAATGTCAAAGGAATACTCTGCCAACGTCTGTACCCAAAAGGAAAACTTTCCCAATTCTTAGGTAGATCCTTATTCGATCAAATGTCTTAAACCTGTTTGAGTCATCTCGAAAAAGATTGTTAAGGGTCATAACACACGAGTATGAAAATATATGTTAATATTTCCTACCTATAATAATCCTCTTTGCAGTAGATGAGACCATCCCGGGCAAAACATGTAAGTTCAGAGTCGAGTCTGAATTTACAATCGCTGCATTTTAAACAGGACACATGCCATTGCTTGTCTACGGCGAGCAGGTAGTAGCGTTCAACGATGCGACCACCACAGCCGGCACAAACGCCGGGCAAGTCGTCACCGCTGTTGTTCAGAGGCATCTGATGCTGAAAACATAACATGTAAAATTGAAAGACAATAGTCTGTAACAAATGCAACTAACATTTTAAATAACTTAAACACATGTATATTTAATACCACACATACTTTTAAATGAATTGTACACCTATATCAGAGTTTACATCACAACAGACGTGTGTATGTCATAACGGTAAGTCAATGAGGAGACTGACTGACTGACTGACTTTAGTTTTACGCCGCTTTTAGCAATATTCCAGCAATATCACGGCGGGGGACACCAGAAATGGGCTTAACACATTGTGCCCATGTGGGTCAATGAGGAGAGAGAGATAGAGATAGAGAAAAAGCGTGTGTTCTAGTGTACTAGTGTTAAAGAGAGAGAGAGAGAGAGAGAGAGAGAGAGAGAGAGAGAGAGAGAGAGAGAGAGAGAGAGAGAGAGAGAGAGAGAGAGAGAGAGAGAGAGAGAGAGAGAGAGCGTGTGTGTTCTAGTATACTAGTGTTAACAATGAACCCACTAAACCAGTGACAGCAACAACTAAGGTATTTCAAAGGAGAGAGAGTTATCGCCGATATACATATTGCATAAAATTTTAATTTATGAATTACTTGTCATAATAGAGACAGCGCAGTATGTCTATACAACTTAGTAAATGACATGCTATGGACATGAAAGGCGTAATATCGCTACAAAAACAACACATCATCAGAAAGCCACAGCAAGGAGGTACTACCATTTAAATACAGATATCTATCTATGAAATATCTATATGTATACACACTCTAGGCAGTATAGTTACCGGTGCTTCATTCAATTACCTTTGTTATTAATAACATGTTTACTTAACAGGAATTCAATAGTATAACAACGTCTATACTGTACTGTGTTATTCATGTTTCATAAGTGTTTAACTACATTTGTTTGAATATAGCAAGTTTTGTTGCTAGGACAATGAAAGGTAGGTATGTAGATATTTGACACTATGGCAAATATACATTATGTTATCTTATAAAAAGATAATTTCTCAGATACGACCAATCACGCATGATGAAATATGTAAACATTATATACCCGTGAACCTTCAGAAAGACAAAGCAGTATAGTGAGATCAAACTTATAGTTTTACTTATTGAAGCTATTTACAAAAGTAAATTTTGTCCAGATATCCATTTTACAAATAGCTCTTCCATGAGGTGTACCATTAAACAAAGTAGGGGATATTGGATTTACAAGATTGATAAAATGCAAATGATGAAGCCAAGGAGGAAGGAGATGATGAAGCGAAATTAAGGGAAAATGTGACAATTTATTCCATTCCTTTGGAATGTTTCATTTGTATGAATATATATTACTTTTTCTCATTATGCATTGGCTAAAGGTATGCTCGCAAAATGGAATATCCCCTACTTTTTTTGAATGGTATATATACACATTTGTGTAATCTTCACAAGCCTTGTCTATTGACATATGCAATGTTCCATCCAACTACCAGAAAAATATAAAAAATGCCTTTCCGGTATATTATTTTTAATTGTTAACAACATTTAAAGGATAACGAAGATACATATCATTACGAATGTATATCTATATGCGATGTGCCGTCACGTCTGGTTTACATTGTAAATCTGGTCCAATAAATAACTGGTAAAAATACAGGAACTCCCCAAAACTGTTACGCTACATTACTAAGTGTGTTATATCCTGTTATATCAACAAACAGCAATATAACTGAATAGCACACACAGTACGTTGCTGCAATGCATATACATGTTAGAAGGCCATTAGGATGTGAAAACATAATTACTCTTAAGGATGTTGCGCTACTCTTTAACGTTGTCCGTTTGTGATGTTCCAGATTAACATGCGTGCATTCAAATTATTTAAACTCTAAATAAACTTCTAATTTTTAATTAATTTACGGTTTGCGATTCCTGAATAGGTTTGTTATAAAGGTGATTTATTTTACGCCTTAGTAGTAGTTAGTTTGAAACGATAACAGATCCTAGAGACAAGTGGCAAATGAATGTCAAATGAGGGTCAAAATTTAAGAGAATGGCTCGAAATATTCGTTGGGCAATTATGGTTTCTTTTAACTATACACACATGGAAAGTTGCAACATTAAACCAGGATAACCACTGAAGGTTTTTCATAAATATCAATGATATCTCACAAATATAGTAAAAAGTAACGTTAATTCCATACACTCAAAGATTTTGAACCATGAAAGAAAGGTATAATCTGAAAGTATATTTTGCAGTTCCTCACCAACATTACTATTCTTTTCGTCAAAATACATTTCTTTTTACAGTAAGGACCATTTCGGGAAAAGAAACGACATGTATAATTTTAAAGTGATTAACTGATCAACTGCCTACATAGTTCCTTATCAGAAAAGTAAATATCACATAAAGACATTCTTGATTATACCCCAGCGTTCGGCCCGAAATCACCTAAAATGATATACATTTCACAGCATATTTCTTTGTTAGGAAGCAGAAATTGACGACCTGTAGATATAACTGATCGGCCATAGTACAACCGACAATCCTACCATTCAAAGAGATTGATAGATATGCGCACTGAAGAGATCGGATTTCCCCCATGTGCCGGCGCTTTGGCCTGTTATATAAACTCCCATCCAAATCCGTCCTTCCCCATAGCATACCGGCTAATGTCCCCGGCGTCGTCCCCCCTTCCCTCCCCATCCCGATCCACGACATGCTTTGTGAAGATGTGAAGGATAGATGATACCAGAAATATCACGCTGGGAAAATCACACAGTTGTCCATTGCAAATATAATACTCCAGAACAAGCGAAAAGACAGCTTTCATGGCGCGTTATAAATTTGTAAAGTTGAAGTTTAATCTGAGAGCAAAGCAGTTATGAAATCCGACAGACCAAAAAGTTTAAACAACGAAGGGTAAATTAAGCGTTTCCTATTTTTTTAGACAGGAAATTTTCCAAGCAAATAACCTGTTTTGACTAACTCACAGGCTGAAGTCTCTACACCATGTTCAATAATTTACCCTCTTTATCCGTAATTTCCTGGGGTGAAGCTTTTGACGACCCGTCAACCAAGCAATGAAATGTATGAAAGCTTGTCATTCGGGAAGGTAACTGTTATAAACGGTGTTTGTTTGGAGATAGAAATGTGCATTCTCGGTCATGTATATTTCAGCAAGTGACAAGTGCGTGTCTATAGCTGTCACTGACGGTGAAAATTACACGTTTCGGGTATAAACAATAAATCAAACGAATAGTGTAATTATCGTTGGATCCGAACACAATCAACGTTGGTTTTCGTCTTTGATTACATCTCATAAGTGCGTGGGGTGCCATAAGACTTATTAGTAAATTGTTTCGGAAAAAATATGTAATCGATTAAACCTCTTTGTAATTTTATTTACCGGTTGTCAATATCTCTTTACATGTTAAAATTTCAAAAGACTTTGACATAAGTGATACCATTCCGGAATTAAAAATACGTTCTATCTATACTTTTTTACAGTTATTTAACATGATCTGTAGCGAGGTAATGCCACAATCAATAATATTTTTAATCGATTATCCTTAAAATCAAATGTATCGACTGTTTAAATATGATTGTAATTGTGAGCATGTGCACTAATATTCACGATTCTTGTACCAATACAGAGCGTGTTGACTCAATAAAGGAACGGTTATCACAAGAATATAAACAGATACACGCACAAGTCTTCCCTTCAACAATGATATTAAAAAACCCTTTGAAAATGAACCTCAATCAAGGATTTTCACAAGCTGCATAATTTCACAGCTGTCAATGAGAAAAATATATTCCCATCTCCGTTAAGAGCAGGTGCTTACCGTTTGCTCAACACGATACAAATGAATTTCACTCAATATCAAGCAAGCTTGCAGCTTTGACGTGTTTTATCGGAGAGAAAGGGGATTACATTGCGCTTGGATTACTTGTCGATTTCACCTAGAAGCGTGACGGAAACAAAATTGCAGTCAAACAGAGCAAATAACACACTTTGCATCTTCCCTCAATATGTACAGGTATCAGTTGAGCTGTATTAGACTGAATTAAACAAATTGCACCTTTAGAAAGCCATCAATGTATACGTTAGTACCTAACGAAAATTGTACTTAACATTTCCGTAGTTGCGTTTGGTTTCTTTGAAAATAAATTCAATTGGAACAGATTTTAAAGAATTTTTACAATATGTTCATCTACAGCATCATAGTGAATCTAAGTAGATTAAGTTTGGTTTTGAATAATTCAATATTGAAATAACTAAGTGTGAATTATAAACAAAAAACTAAACCGTTTCGACAAATGGGTTAATATATGTTATTACCTGTGTAAGAAAGGGTCGTGTAATTGACAAGAACCACATGCTATTTTAATGATAAATACCCGCCTACATGAAATAAATGAAACAATGATTTATAACAAATCATTTAATTAAATGAATGTATTTATTTTATTTTAACACCATGATTTCTGTTTGTAAACACGACTAGACATCCTAGTTATCCAAACTGCAAACTATGCCAATATATAATTACAATGCTTATCCAAATTAGACCAGCTTCTCGTCATATCTCTGACCTCTATACCCATGCATCATCAAATCGGAATGCCAAAATTAATAAACACGACTGTAAGTAAATATAAACATAACTTGAAGTAAATATAAACAATCCGGAGTTTTTAAGTTAAAATAATTGGTAACATAAGTACTACAAGATTCTGCCACGATTGGAGTACCGGTAAATGCTACTGTTTATCAATGCTTTAAACTATCACATATCGGCAATTGCAGCCGCCTGTATCGAACTAAGGATAGGGAACCCTAGCCCCCTAAGGACACAAGACGGAAGCAGTTACCAGTCTCCAATCCATCACATGGACCGTACCCAGATGGGAGAATTTGCTCAAGCCCACAGAGATAGCCAGAAAATGATTTCCAGTTATCTCAGATACTCCAAAACCAGGACCACGTGCCTTGATTTGTAATGCCAGTTGACGCGACAATTTGGTCCTAATGTCTAAGCTATGCTTGTTACGACAACTGAGAGATAGTGCGAATTGCTAGGAAGGGTGAAACGATGATATTTTTCTTGGGTTATACGTCGAAGTTTTAGCGGTGAAAATAAACAGATAAACACGTGCATTTCCTGAAACATATGCGGCGCTACCTGGTAGCTGTACCCAAAACCTATCTGCCCTTATCCTTGAAACACAGGTGGGGCTTACACGTGCATGTGTGAATACTTTGGAAACGGGGTTCTGAGAGTCTACAGTCTCGATGCTAAGCCGAGTGTGAACCTGTATCTTGCAGCTATACAAGGGGTGTCATCTGTCACTGGTTAGATGTTTGTGGTATGTACGTGTGCATATGTCAAGATGCAAACACAAGACTCGGATGAAAGATCCCTGGAGTTTCCAGGAAGTTACCTTACCCTTGTTGTGACGTGACAATCCAGTGCTAAACTGTCTGGGGAAACGGTCCGGCTCTGAAACTCTCCCGATCCCTCATGGGGTTGGAGGATAGTTTTTTCCACCATGCCGATGTTGGTGTGTCCGCGGAGGGGTATCCAACAGTCCCCGGGGACGAATGCGTGAGACACGGGACCCAGCTCGAACAGGAGTCCCACCCTCCGAGAAGAATCCTCACACTACTGACACAAGGAACGTCCGTCCAACTATCGCAACACTTCCCTGCGTTGGAAACACAGAATACCACTGCAACGTAGTCAACAATGTCGATTTCGCCGGTAAAAACCTATTTGTTTTGGGACAGTGAAAGCGGGTGCACCGCCGGTTCAACTGAATGTGGATTGTTTAGAAATGGACTTACACTAGTTTTTGTCAAGGGCCGTGTTCTATGCCAGCACTTTACGATCACAATAAAAGGGGAGGGGCACACCAGGCACTTGCTTTGCTGGTGTGCCACTGTTCAGATCGCGCTTCGCGCGGCAGGGTCCGCTCTCATTGGTCGATAACACCCAGCGCCGTCCTGATTGGATAATTGCATGAAATCTGTTCCTGACAGTCACACCTGTCAATCTCTTGCCTTGGGTTGCATGTATAATACGAAGCGGATCTAAAGCGAGTCGACATCTCGGTTTTCGCTTCCTACCGAGAAAGCCCGACTAGGCACAAGACTCCTCGAGTTTGACACGCCGCTCCTAGCTTTTCCTTACGCGCTGCTTTTATCCTTTTCTTTAAAATAAACGATTCTTTGGGTCGACGATCGTAAAAGTATTTGCTCCACGTTTATTTAGTAAAAGTTTAATTCAGGTCCGTAATTCAAGACTGAGAACAAATTTGGAATTTTCAATGACCATTATTTCGTTCGTTTTACCACTTAGCCCGGGGAATACATATTTTACAATAGCTTTGAAATATGAACTGTATTGAAGTATTTATTGCATAAATCTTTATTTCTCAATAATTTCTTAAGAACTAACGGAATAAAACGTGTTCACTCTCTCTCCATATTGTGTTTCATATTGACACACGGTATGTACTAAAGCAGATCGTAAGGCTTCCATTATTTGGAAACGGCAGATGCAAGGCTTTTATAACAACTCAAAGATTTGATTTGTTTTTATTTCTCGACTCTGATAACGGATGTGAGTGCGGAAAACGTAATCACCTGGTATAAATATGCCTCTGAAAATATATTTAATTTCTTTAAAGATTTGAACATTTTAAAATTACAAAAAAATTCTACTGTTTATTATAAATACAATGTGTACCTATACGTCAATATAAACTTTATTTATTGCCTATGCTTAACACAATTAGTACTGAGAGGTGCTCACTACACAAATACAAAGGTAATACGATTCAATTGTTATTGAATTGAACAAATGAATTAAAAAAAAAAATAACAGTTTCCGTTTTCGATGAATATATTATTTTCCTTAAATATGTACGATATGTAAATGCAGTCAAGCATTCAATACAGAACTGCAATCATAGTTTTACTTTCCTGTTTAATCAATATGGTGGATAATTCCCTTAAAAGACACGTGTACTTCTCCGTACGCATGATGCTGTGGTGGTTAGCCTTAGCTATCACGCATAAGTCAAGTACGATATTTGCAGTACTGAATATTGTTGTTTCATTAGGTGTAGGTGTGTGATTTAGGTTTTACTTCCGTCCAATAATGGAAGGGAGCACCAGATTTTGGCATCACACATACTACCATTATAGGAAATCCAAACCAGGGGTTTCCCTCTAATGAGCGCACACATGAACCAATCAGCATGGACCCTCGTGTCTAAGTGTACTCTTTCCTACTCAGGTCTGTCCCCAATCATCAAAGTATTCATTCTTAAATATATGGTGATACAAATTCCAATAATTCTACAATTAACGATCGACGAATGCCTGTTATTTGTACATTAGTCTGAATATCAAACGCCACCACTTTAAAATAATCAGCCTCGAATATCTGCGGGAACAAATTTCATGATAATTGTTATAAACTTAAGAAAAGGTTTTTTGTTGGTTAAAAGAAAACATTTCAAACTAAAAGATAATGAATAGATTTTAAACCTTCAACCACTTCGGGACCGGCTACCATAGCATTGATTACACAATGCCATTTAGAACGTGGTCAAATATAACATATGTTATATTTGGGATTTACTAAGACTGTGTAATCTCAAATATGACATATGTTATACCATGGCATTATTTACTAAAACATGATTTGAAAACAGGTTTTATATGCTATTTGATACAACATAAAATATATAGATATGATATAAACATAAGATAGATATGAATAAAATTACATTTCAAATAATTCGAAACTGATTGTCAAGGCTTTGCCTGATAAAGTGTTCGTCGAAGAAAAGAGTCTTGCATAGTACATCGTTGATGACAGAACCGTTAGAACAGCACATGACAAAATTGTTGTATTCAATCAATAAGGGACTAAGCTCTACCCTTAGTAGCAGATTCTACAAATTCTACTCGCGGTTAATGACCGGTTTTAAACCGAGACCGTTGTCTTTGTGTAATGAAGGTAATTACACTCTGAACCGATACATATCATGACCTTTCTGTTTGCAGACAAAGAAAATGATTTTTGAAAGACCTGAATCGAGTAAAACTATACTAGCAGTGAAACAGACTCGAAATCCCATCACCTGATATGTTTAGGACGTTCCATCATTCTGTATGTTAAATCTGATACAATGGCGAAACTAGCTACTTAGTCAATAAACATTACTGAGATTTGTCCCGTGTTTAAGTACAACTGTTTATTTCCACTTACATATAAACCACCAGAGCATAAGTCATGAAACTAAAGTCTTCACTCTTACAATAAACAAACAGTCATGAATGAGTAACAAACATCTTTTTATTACCTCAGCTCATTAAAAAAGTGTTTTAAATCTGATGCCGTTTATATATAAATTTACATAGAATATGCAGTTGTATATTTCGTAGACTTTCAGTTCCACCTGGCTACTTTTAACAAATATTTTATCAGTTATAATATATAAATGGTTTCATCGTATAAAGATGAACCCTGTTGATAGTTTGTTGTTTAACACCAATATTCCAGCAATATTCTGCAATATTCCAGCTACATGACTGTAATCTGTCTATCATCGGGTGTGAGTGGCCAAATCTTAGGATCAGTGTAGCCTGTACATAATGGGAATAGAAGTGTTCGATTTTACTGGTCCGATAAAAGGAACTGACGACAGCAGTGTTAACGGTATCGTACGGAGTGAGCGTGTTAGTCTGTACATCTCCGATTCGACTTTCGTGAGTGTAGTACGGGTTTCCCTATAAATGACTCTGCATCATCATCTCCCAGTGACGTATTACTATCCGTATCAATATTTGATGATGGTTTTACAGCTTTATTCTTGTCCCTGAAATATTCATCATAGGTTGATATCGACATATTTTGATAATAAGTCGATACCCACCTATGATGAATATTTCAGGGGAATCGTACAAAATCTCACACTGATTAACCAAGTGTAAATAATTCATCTGCTTCAGCAAAACTCTTAGTAGAAAATAAAGCTGCATTCTCGGTCTTAGTGGTTAACTACGCAACGTTAATAGCTGTGGAAATATTCTAGGCTGGACCCAAATGTGACCGATCACTGCTGACTGTAATGAATTTTATGTATTCAGTTGTTATGAAACTTTATAAATATGCACCTATTTGTTCAGGATACCTCACCGTAAACAACATAACGATCTCAAACAGAGCATATATTTTAAACGCCGGCATATTTATAAAGTTTTTACATACCGTTTGAATTAGAAACGATCAGCTATACATAGTGGCATATATACACGTTTGCGTCTTAAAAGTCTGCCACAGTGTCTCTGATATCAATATGCCTTGTGAAATATTGAAACATCTGTACGGAATGTCAATAGGGGTTATTCGTATTTATCACATATCCAAATTTCAAGTATCGAATCAGAATCATTAATTTGTTTGCGGCATTTACCATAGGTAAATATTCCATATCTAATAATGGTGTGCAGTTTCTCGAGAACCTGTCACGTATTTGTTTCCTCCAAGGTTTTAATGTTTAATTTCTTTCAGAACATGTATTTTTCTTCATATCATTTACGAACTACAGTCACACTGTTTCAGACGAGTGCAACAACGAGAATAGACATTTAGAAATCATTATCTGGGTCAGCAAGTTGCTTTTATCAGAACTTAGTTCCATTCTGTACATTTTTGATAAAATAATAAATGAAATACAACCCGTTCATTCTGTAGGACCATAGCATAACAATTGGCTGTGAATATAAATCCTATCTAAAGGGAATCTGTCCGAATACATTTTACATTACTTCTTGTCACGTTTATATCCCGTAGGTAGGTCAAATACATGGAATACATCGGCTTTAGTAGAAAATATCTTATTTATAGGACATTTGGAACTATAACCGAATATTTAACATATTTCCTTAGCATTTGCTTATCATCAGAGACGTGACCGTTAAATGTTACAAACGAAACAAAACTCCGTTATTCGTAGACTGTATTAAAGTCGTCCCCAAACCCCTTTAACACGACTAATCTTTCAACAGCCTCAACAACGCCCACAGCCGTTAAATGTAACACCTTGTTCGACGTGACACGCCCCTTTCAGCGTGTAATTAATTTCCTTGAACTGACAACGTAATACTGAGTGTGTCCAGCTCCTGACCACAACTCTGTCAGTCAGCTTCACTGACCACCTGGTACCATTAAGGGGGACACTGGTCAATGTAAAGCCACAAAGGACGAGTCAGCTTTAGCGTGGCGTATCACGTTATATTTTAGCTGACTTGGGACATGCTAATTACATGATTATATTTAATTAAAGGTGCAAATTTGCCGACATTGTTAGAGTTGAGAGCATGTGGAAATGGGCTTGAGTTACACTTAACCCTGTGTAAACCGCTCCTTCTTTATCCGATACACTGAAAAAACCAAGGCCTCACAATGTGTCTGGTTATTTTTTATTGATTAGGACGTGATAGAATAATGTATGGCATCGTCTTTAAATATTAATGCGAACGGAAGAAAACATTTTCCAAGTCGATATTTGTTTAATATGAATTCAAAATAATTGCTTCGGGTCTAATTCGTAAATTTAAACCACTTAAAATACATTTGTTCTGTTTGATTAACAAAACCTTTGAAGGAAATATTCCGAGTTTAAGAATATAAATATTACGATTAATTATTACGTTGTTTAGTGTATCAAAATATATTTTTTATTTATTGCAGCAGAATGTGACATTGCCACATATTCGGGCATGCTTGTCTTCAGACAGCGACGTACAGCTGTAATAC